AAAAAGCTCCATCCCTTCCTGTAACCCAGTAGACACAGTAGAGCCTTCAAAAGGGTTCTCCTTTCCAAACGGAGAACTATACAAAGACTGCGCGAAGCTTGGTTGCACCACATGGAAACTGCCTTAGCTAGAGCTGTAATTGCAAATAGGTGAGAGGAAAATGAAATAAGCTGGATGGCATGCCAAGTACGACTACCGTCCCCAAAGGCGAACAGATAGAAGGTTAGAGTCCCGATCATTTGGGCACTTATCAACCCCCTCCATGTAACCTGAACAAATAAAGAGACCATATGACCCACCTGCCAATTAGAACTGGACAATAGACTATCTGGGTCGAGCCAATACAAAATCCGGGTACAACCTCATGTCAAAACCAGCCCAGGTCATGCAATTATGAAAGGCATAGGACCTACCGTTAATGTACGAACAACTCATCTTGAAGCCAACGAGGACACGACCAAGTGGGTCAAATTCCACAGCGACCATGGTCATAACACTGCGAACTGCATCGCCCCACGGTTGGAGTTCGCGCGCTAACTGAAGATGGGACATCTCCAGATCTGTTGATGGATAAAGGAATAATACAATCAGCCAAAAAAAGCTCGAAGGAAGCATCTCCCCCCCCCCCCCCCCCACCCCACGAGAACCTACCCCAAAGGTTTCTGTCTTATCTCTGTGGGTCGGAGATAAGTGAGTAACTACTGTTGGATTCATGCATAGTTGGACATAGAAATGGTGTAACATGAATGAACAAGAGGATGATGCAAGGTAGAACACAAGCATAACACAAATGCCCAAAAAATTTCAAGGTAAATGGAAATATTCCTTTACTCTTGCTATTCACCACTTGATTCTTCTTCTGGAATCTTAGTTCTTCAGTGCCTTGAGAACCTCAAATGTGATCCACACAAGTCAAGGAAGAAGAGCCGAGATAGTGAGAGGAGAAATGATAGAGTGTTTTGCTTTAACTGATCTCAATTCAATTAAAATGTATAAACTAATTTATATACCATGGGAACAAAGTGTAATTTTAATTGTTTTAGGAAGGCCTCAAAACAATTTAAAATTAACTTGAGAATAAACTTTACATTTCAAGTCCTTGTTTTATGGTTAATTCATAATTAACCAAATTTTAATTCCATTAAATTCTAACCCTTGAGAATAAAACCATGCACTTTTGCCCCCATCATTGAATCCAATTCAATATAATATTTAATAAATCCTTATTACCCTTAGTTAGTGCTAGCTATTGATAAGTGCTAATTAGTAGATGTTTTTAAGGGTTGGTTTGATGTTATTAAGGTTAACTTTCTCATTTTTTCCTTTGTTTTGTATGTTTGTTTTTTGTTAGTTTGCGCTATGAATGGTACACTTCTCGTGAATTGGATAACTTTTAGGTTGTTTTTTTTAGGCTTTGATTGAGTAGATTGCAGTACTGAATAAATTGGACTTAAAGTCTTGGATAGAGGTTGAGATTGGCCCTTCGGTCGTGAAGAGCCAGACCCATGCCATTGGTAGTTCACCATGCCATGTGATGGAACAAGAGAAAACAAGAGACCAGAATCCAACGGCCTAGGTTGTGGTACTCTTAACTTTGCCAGGGGGCGGGGGGGCGCAGGGTTGTGGCGAACCTATTAGACGCGTTTTATCAGTTTTTCTCTTTCCTTTTTTCACTTAGAAGACTCTTTTTGGTATTTAAGTAATAATTGCAGATCAATTGTTAAGGGACGAATTTTGCATATTTTTGACGAGGAAAGATGCATTCCTGTGGGGCTTGAAGCGAAGATCAATTTAAGATTTGTTTTTATTTATTTTCATATCTGATTATGTTTTCCCTTCTTCCTACTTATTCCTTTGTTCTTAGGGATGGAGTAATCCTTTTGTTATGGGGAGATGACCCTAATTACTGTTTTGACAAATTGTTTGATTCTTAAACCAAATTTAATGGTTTATGGATTGTGCAGAGTTAGGTTTTAATGCTTTAATGAATGTTGCTTTATTTATATTACCTTGATGTTTCCAATATGAAGTAGGGTTTATTGCTTATTCAATTCATAATTTTTCTTGGAATAACATTTCACCAACATATTAAAACGCAGCATTAATCGAATAGAGATTCTAGATTAATTTTATGTCCATCTAATTCATAACCGAAGTAGAGGTGAATTAGTTCGTACAGGGTTGATAATTTATGCCTTCTGTAATTTCAAGGTAACCGAATAGGGATTGTATTAATTGAATATTATGCCTAAATAAGGCTAATTGGCCTTAGAAGAATCCTATCCAATCTAGCATAAACAGGTAATTAAGGTAGTTTGTCAACATAATTAGCGGGGAAATCCAGTACCCTAACTTCATTACTATTGCAAATTCAATCACATTATTTATTTGTTAATTTAGTTATTTTGGATCTGTCTTTTTTACACTCTAAATTTTGTTTTTTCCTCTCAAATACGTGTAGAGTTTAGGTAATTACAATATTCTCTTTTGATCTCCTGTGTGACGATACTCAAACTCATCCACTTTTTACTTGAACACGACTAGTGCACTTGCGTAAGGTTGTATTTAGTCGCACTCAAGTTTTTGGCGCCGTTGCTGGGGATTCATAGGTTCAACACACACTCTGCGATCGACTGTAGACCGATTCATAGGTTTACACCTTTGATGCCCAGACTGATTCAATAGTTACAATCCCCGAACCCACTAGAGATGTCCCACGACTTCAGCCAACTTTTGCTGCGCACAACATCGCAAACAAGCTTGCGGTTCACCCTAGTTCATCTACAAACAACAAAGTAATCATCATTCATCCCACAGGAAACACCAAAAAACCAAGAATTTCACAAAGTATGAATAAAATAAGCCCAAGCAGCTAGTCCATACATATAAGGCATACAGGCCAGGAAGAGGGCCAATCGTAGTGCCCAAAATCTACAGAGGCAAAAACAAACAAACAAAGCTAAGTCATCATTGGTACTGAGTCTTCTCACTCCCATCTCTGACGCGATCACCTTGATCACCCAAGCCCTAGCATCAGCCCCTGTGCAGCCTATCGCTCACATCCTCAGTACTGATGGCCCTAGCTGGCTAGCAAAATTGGCACTTGCTCATCAAATCTACTCCTCTGTATCGCCCAGTGGCCTCCTCCTTCTCCAGCATCTCCCTGTATGAGCTGAATGTCGCTTATCCGGGTTCTAGTGTGAGGTGTTCCTGGCCTTGTACTCAGCATGAAGGCCGCTCCCTTGGCCCTAATGATGGATCATCAATAATGCTCAGGCACTGCTCCCTCAAGGACTCGCACCTCTGCGTCCCTCTCAGCCACTCTCTCGCCTCAGCCTCTCCAACTCGCTCTTGCCTCCTTCATGACTCTGATGGCTCTCCCCTCAACTCTTTGTGACTTGCTGCTTGCTCGCTGTCGCATAGTTGGAATTAGATTTTGATACACATGTGTCCCTCTTCTCTTACACACGATGGATTGCCCGTCAGGTGTAGGGTGTGGTGAATGCTACATAAAAAAACAACTTGATCAGATACGTTAAAAACAACCCAGTAAAGTAAAACTCCAGCTCATACACTGGAAAGCACAGGAACCGCCCCCAGTCGCGCGACCACGACTGCGACCGTCCCATCTGTCAAGGGTCTGTCAAGCTGGGAATAGATGAGTATGTCCAACCTGACTCATGATAGCCGTGTCCGATGTAGGTCTAGCGCGAAGCTGGGATGCTGAAGGTGACCTCTCATCTCCTCATCCAGACTACGCTTTGGATGACCCAGCCCCGGTCCACAGGCGATGACTTGGTAGAGTTGCCACCACACTTCCTCCTGCTCTTTTCCCTCTCCTCCTCTCTAGCCGAGCATATCCGTCTTTTCTCGTTTCTCCCGACGCATGCAATGAGACTCACTCCGCACTTGGGACGGTCAGTCTTCTCATCATGCTTTCTGCAATCGCAAACCCTCCACACGTTAGTGGATGCAGCCTCAACTTACCAATACAGGTCTGAATTGCAGAGTCGATCAACAACCATTCTAGTTGCTCACGAAGGAAGGGATACCCTCGCTGGATGCGTTCTAACTGGTGCCCCTAGAGATTACCGTCTTGAGGTTAGCTTCCCTCCAAACACCACCCCGCCAATCCCTCTGTGTGTTTTGGATAGCTAGAATCCTTCTAGGTCTGCACGTCCAAGCCGTCCCCACTCTGGCCCCATCAGTTGAATTAAGCTTTGTCAAAGAAAAACACAATAGATGATTTTAGTACCAAATTCATCGGATCCATAAACAAAGTTTCTCACCAGTGCTTCCAGTGGAACAAAATTTCCTGCCGGTCTTTTTCCTCGGAGAACTGCCATCACACCACCGCCATAAAAAGTATCGTCACTTTCCATTTCTTATCACTCGACCGGAGGTCGATCATGGGTTGATCTGCTCCGTGCCTAAGGTTCAGCAGCTTTGACACTTTGTCCTTATCATTCTCTTTAGGAAGTAGAATAAAGGCAGCTCGTGCAGCCTAAACAATCACTGATGCCATCCACAAAAGAAACTTTTAAACGCCTCAGCATCCATCCACCCCTTCGCATAGTTGTGACGGAGCACTCTTGAAATCGTCCATAGACCTCCCATACAAGCGAGGGATCGGAAGCCCTGGCCCATCATGGCAACACTTGTTTCATAGGTGCTCACCCCCATCTAATTCGCTTCCTAGTCAACCTGCTCATAACACGCCAGCTGCCCTAATCCTCAACCCCCCCCCAAGTATTCTGGAATATGATACATTGTCGAGATTTTGCCCACATATATTTCCTTCAATAGGCAGATAATCTCGGCTTAGAAGTCTCCCACCACTTGGCACGTTCGGCTCTCTTAGAGCCACATATGGTAAAGGATAACTACCCAAAATCACCAACTCCTTCGGATCTCTTCCCACTCTCCTCCTTTCCTATCAGAGATCACTCGGATTACTCCACTCGTCCCAAAGGGCAGTTATGTTCACACCGTCGGTATCCTCAACTGAAAAAGAAAAAAAAATCTACATTTCAAACCACTTCAACATGCAAATAATCAATGAAAATGACTAATATATACCTGTGGGATTCATTTGATGGGAAGCTGAATCTCCTCATGTTTTTGCTGTATCTAAACTATAACAATCATAAAAATTAGTTTAAGTTATAAATTAAAAGTAAATATTAAATGAAAATGCCAAAATATTTATATAACTTTAATAATTGGAACTTACTTTGTTCTTTCTCTTAAGTCCTCCTAGATTGCGACACCAATCACCTCCACAAAGTAGCACTGATACTGTTTCCGGAGACAAAGAAGCTCGGTAAGTTTCAATAACTCTACTACCAGCACTAAAAGTGGCCTCCGAAGCTATCGTGGTGATAGGAATGGCTAGTATATCACAAGCCATCTTAGATAACAAACGATACTTCAACGTATTCACTTTCCACCACTGTAGTGCATCAAATGTAGTTGGATCACCCCTATCATGAGAAATGTAACATCCCTCTTCTAGATAACCATTTAACTTTGATTTTTCCGGTGGGACACTTTGAACCACTTTCATATGCTGTGTAAATAATGCAAAAACCAAACGAACTACTTGGGTTTTGTACATTAACCCGAGGAACCACTCTATTTTTAGCACTTTGTTCATTGTTGAAGGATTGGGATTCATCCACATATTCTTGATAAATTTCATACAGGGCATCTTTAACTTTTAACATATTTGCTTGTGCTTCAATCTCTTCATACATTCTAGGGAAACAATACTCAAGCATCGCCTTTTTGCACCTACGATCTACCACAGAAGCTACACACATTAACAAATTACACTCTCCCCAATATTTGTCAAACTTCTTTTTCATTTTCTTCACCATATCTTGAATAAAATCATTTTTATCCAATGCCTTTGCATCTAGCATAACCTTAACGAGAAACTTCACTTAGAAATAGATTTGCAGTTAGGTAATCACTCCTAGAGATGATATTAGTAATGGTATTGAACACTTCCAAAACTTCACAAACTTTTTTGACTCTCACCCAATCCTCTGGATCTGGACAACAATCAAAATGCAGGTCTTTGTCACGATATCTTAAAAAGACATTTTTGAACTTAAGTGCTGTAGTCAACATCTGTGGAATTCCACCTTGTTTTACAATCAAGAATGAGCTTCTGATGAGGCAAACATAACAACTGCACGATTTTCAAAAACATGATAAACCTACTCTCCGATTATTTAATATACGCCACACTGTCACTGACATCCTCAACAATGTACCTTATTTCAGTCAAACCATCTTGAACCATAAGATTCAAAATATGCGCGCAACACTGAACATGGAACAGTTTTCCCCCACATACAAGGCTTTTGTTTATTGAAAAATTGTCTTTTAAGATCTTGATTGCCGTATCATTATTTGTGGCATTATCGATAGAAATTGTGAACACCTAGTTTTCTATACCCCATTCTTTCGCACACTTATAAATCAAATCTGCAATCAGAATACCAGTGCAAGGAGGAGGTATATACAGGAAGCTGAGAACACATTTTTGTAGCCTCCAATTACTATCTGTAAAACGCCCCGTTAGAACCATGTATTCTATCTTCTGATTACCTGACTTCCATAAATTAGTCGTTAAGCTTTTTTTGTCAACAATTTTTAACAAATTCTTCAGCTTCGTTTTCTCCCTCTCATACATATTAACACAATCATTCTTACACATGTTGCGATTTATCCTTTCCCATTGAGGGATCGCATATCTCTACATATCATTAAATCCCTCCTCCTCAACAACAGTAAATGGATGCTCATGCATAAGCACCCAATTGGCAACTAGTTCCCTCATCTTCGCCATTTCAAATTTCCCACTGGTAAGAACAGGGACGAGATTATCAATTGTGCCACTTGAACCCATATCTCCTGCTTATGCCTGGAAAAATCGTTGTTGTTGCTTTCAGAAAAGAATTCGCCTTACACAACTATTCAAATGTCTTGAAAGGTGAGTTGCTCCCAGTAACCGTTATCGCAAGTTTTGCCTTGCAATGGATGCACTGAACCTTTTTGGTATTGTCAGGTAGAGTCACCTCCTTAAAATCGTTCCAAACCACAGATGTTTTTGCTCTTTTTTTTTTTTTTTTTTTTTTTTTTTTTTTTTGCAAATGAGTTAACATCAACCTCTTTATTAACATCAGTTGCGGTTGTTTTAGTGGTAGGTTTGCTTTCATTTGGAGTGCTGCTTGTGTCTTATGTACATTGTAATGCTGAAAAGGAGATCTCTGCTGGAGTGGTAGTAGGATCGGGAATCCCGGGACTAGAAGTGGATGCCATATCTAATCAAATACATAAAAGTATAAAACATATTTCAGTCAAAAAGTTCTTAAAATATAAGTATATATATAAACAAATGTAAATGGCACATGGTGTTGGCAGAAAAAGTGATCCTTGGTCACACAATTTGAGGCTGACAATGAGGGGCCTCACGGGTTCTTTTTTATTCATCTACACTTTATGCTTATCACATGGTGTTTCAGTTTGTTGACCATGTCAAGATTTTGTCCTTAACATGCGCTGATCACATTCACATGAAGCACATGTAGACAAATAACACATCATTCACATGAAACACGTGTAGACAAAAACAAATGGGCAAAGGAACTGTAATATAAATGGCCAAAGGAATGCCCAGAACACCAAAAACAAAAATGATAAACAAAAGACTAAAAGAGAAACTCACGAGTTTGTGGACTATAGAGTTCGTGGAGAGTCTAGAAACACACTCACGAGTTTGGGTTTCTAGCTAGCAAACAAAATTCGACAAGGGCGCAAGGCTGTGGTCGTGGCACTGTGGAGCTGTGATAGGGTGTTTGGGTTTGGACTTTGGAGTCTTTATGGGTTTAGATGGTGAATGGGTGTTATGGGTTTGGGTTACCACGACATGGTCGTGGTGCAACGAAGCATGGTTTTGGTGTTTGGGTTTGGAGTCTTTATGAGTTTGGAGTCTTTAGACAGCGAATGGGTGTTATGGGTTTGGTTTAACATGGCGAGGTCGTGGTCATGGCGTGGCAAAGCATGATTTCTAGTCAGAAAAATGCAGAGTGTGAATGGCAGCTGTTTTGGTTGTGGAGTGTGAACTGTGAATGGCGATGGAAAGTGACAGCTGTTTTGGTTTTGGAAGTGACAAGGGGTTAATGGGTTATGTTAACTATGGTTTAAATGTGGGTTTTAAAATTTGCGAGCTCTTAAAGGCTTGCGAGCCCAAATGATCTCAAAAAGCTTGTTTGGGCTCGAGATCTCCAAAAAGCTCGCTAATTTTCAAGTCGAGTACCCCTAGGCTTGGTACTCGGCTCGTATAATATACGAGCTGCTCAGGCTCTAGATCGGCTCGAATTTTTCGAGCCAAGCCGCGGCTCGTGTTGAGCCGAGCTTGAGTAGCTTGCAAGTTGCTCTGCTCGGGTACACCCCTAGTCAGAACAAGCTTTTCCTTGTTCATGTTTAAAAGAAAAATCTGGACAGAAAATGAGGCAAGCGATTGAAAATTCATTAGTTAGAGATGAAAAATTTTTTGTCCGCAATCAGAAATCAGAATGAATTTTCACATTTTAATTAATTTTGAAACGTCACCTCCATATTTGATTAATGATATTGAGTGATGTAGGCTAATTTTGACATTCATTATAAATTCTATATTCAAACTCTCTTTGTCAAATATAAAATTGTTAAATAGTTGTTATAAGTCAGTTGTTTTAAGCTATTGTTAGCTTAGCTACTGTATCAGTTTAGTTATTTAGCTTAGTTACTGTATCAGTTCAGTTAGTTAGTTAGTTACTTAAGTCAGTTAGTTAACTTGAGTTAGTTACAACTTGAGTTAGTTAACTGGTTTAATTTATTTTAATGTAATATAAAGCATTGTACAGTATTGATGTGAGAAGTATCAATAAAAAAAAGGAAAAGTTTTTCCCCAAATTTCTCTCTGTTCACCGACACTTAATCTCTTCAACATGGTATCAGAGCAACAATTTTCCGCCATCTAACTTGAAAATCAACTGAATCAAGCTTCCAATTTGATATTTGCTAAGCCCAATAGAGCTTAAAATTTCTCAGTTTCTTCATTCTAGCTCGATTTGCTAAGAATTCAACATCGTCGACAATGACATCCTCCACTGAAGAATCAGTTGTTCCTTCGATCAATTCGAATTCTCCTCTCTATGTTCATCCTTTTGATACGCCAGGTACTGTTCTTGTTTCCGAACAGCTTGTAGGAACAGAAAACTATGGATTATGGAGAGAGTTATGACTGTTTCTCAATGTGCAAAGAACAAACTAGGTTTTGTTAATGGAACATGCACAAAATCATCAGTTCATAATCAGTTAGTGCCACAATGGGAAAGATGCAATTCCTTAGTGTTGTCCTGGATCTTTATTCAGTATCAAAAGAAATTTTTAACGGAATTGTATATTCTACTGATACTTACCAAGTTTGGCAAGATTTAAAGGAACAATTCCATAAAGTCAATGGGACTATGATTTTTGGTATCCATAGAGAAATTGCTAATCTTACACAGGGAACAAACATTGTAGCAGTGTATTACAACAAACTCAAGTCTTTGTAGGATGAGTTAGATTCGTTAGTAAGTATACCAACACCTGAATCAATAGAAATTGTTACAATTTCTAATGGGATTGAATGACTCATATTCTATGGTTAGGAGTCAAATCCTATTGATGAACCCATTGCCAAGTGTTAAACAAGCCTATTCTGTAGTACATCAGGATGAAAACCAGAGAATTCTTGCTAGCATGAATGTTAATTTACAGGTCGCAACTGCACTTTATGCTCAAAACAATAGTAAGCATCAGAATCCAGGCAAAAAATATAAGGGTAAAAGACCATATATTAAGTGTGAGTATTGCCATTTACTTGGTCACAAACGAGAGAGTTGCTACAAACTAAATGGGTATCCTCTTAACTATCAGTTCACAAAAGGCAGAACAAATTCTAAGGGCAAGGTTTCTGCTAATCAAGCTCAAATGCAGAATGTAGTTTCAAAGTCATCAGATACTGGAACTGCAAATGTTTATGGAAATGCAAATGCTCAAATTGGTCCTGTTTTAACAAGTGACCAATATAATCAGGTCCTTCAGCTCTTGGGAAATGAGAATGTCAATCCTTTAGCTGCCAATCTTGTAGGTACCCTCACTGATTCTGCTACTACTTTCTTTTCTTGCTTGAATAATGCCATCTAGATCATAGATACAGGAGCTACAAATCACATGACTAGCCATTATTCAATTTTACAATCACCTATAGCTATAGAACCTACCACACAATCCCTTGTAGAATTACCAAATGGAACCAAAACACATATTAGACATGTAGGTTCTATAGACTTGGATAATGGTTTTCATCTTTCAAAAGTTCTGCACATCCCAAACTTTAAAAACAATTTGCTATCAGGCTCTAAATTTACTATTTCCAATAATTGTGCCATTACATTTTATCCTGATTTTTGCCTCATTTAGGATCTTTGCAGTGGCAAGTTGAGGGGGATTGGTAAGCATGACAAAGGCTTATATCTTCTTGATCCAATGTCCAAAGATTTGCCAACTTTGCCAGATTTAAAGATTTCAAATAAGATTGCTTCAAATATTTTGTATTCAAAAGATATTGTTTCTAATGTTTTTCATTTGAATAATCATGTACCATTGAATAAGGATGTTAATTCATATGTGTCTCTTTTATCTACAACTTTGCCTACTGCACCTGAGTTATGGCATCAAAGACTAGGACATATCCCTTACAAGACTTTACAGCTTATGCAACATAAGCTGAAAATGAATTTTTCTACACCTTTTCACTGTGATCTTTGTCCATTAGCTAAACAAACTAGAATTCCTTTTCATCATAGTGCTTCATACTCCAGCTATATTTTTGACTTGTTACACATGGATGTTTGGGATCCATATAAGACACCAACTCATGGTATTGCAAGGAACTTTCTCACTGTTGTAGATGATTACTCTAGAGTTACATGGATATTCCTTATGCAATTCAAATATGAGACTTTTCTTACAATCAAATATTTTCTTCAAATGGTCCAAAATCAGTATCATTTTACTCCTAAATGTATTAGAACCAATAATGGCCTTGAGTTTTTTAATAAAGATTGTCATGACCTGTTTCTTCAAAAGAGTATTATGCATCAAAGCTCATGTGCATATTCCCCTCAACAAAATGGAGTTGTTGAGAGGAAACATAGGCATATTCTTGAGGTCACTAGGGCACTGAAATTTCAGGCATATATACCAAACCATCTTTGGGGATATTGTGTCCAAACTGTAGTGTATTTGATCAATAGGTTTCCGACATTTATTCTTCATGGTTTATATCCTTTTGAGAAATTTTTTGGCAAGCCTTCCTTATTGGATCATATCAAGGTATTTGGCTCTTTGGCTTATGCTACGATTCTTACTCAGAAAGACAAATTATCCCTTTGATCAGCCCCCTGTGTTTTCTTAGGTTATTCATTAACTCAGAAAGGTTATTTGCTCTATAACCTTTCCTCTCATTCAGTTTCAGTTTCAAGGGATGTCACTTTCTATGAACATATCTTCCCTTTTTCTTGGTTCATTTCTTCACAAAATCCCTTTCCTCTTGCACATGATTTTCTTGAAATAGAGTCAACACCTTCCACTGTCATTTCCCAATCAGATACTACAATGCCATATGTCCAGTCTACAAAACCATCTTCTCCTTCCACTACTTTGCCGCCTGACCAGCACATTGTTTCTCTTGTTATTCCTTTACCTCCACAACCTGTTATTCCTCCTCTTAGGAAATCCAATAGGACTACCAGACCTCCTATTTGGACTTCAGATTTCGTTTGTTCTACTCTTACACCTTCTTCCTCTGCTAAT